CACAGTTTATTTCGTTGGTCACAAATCAAAAAAATTATAGGTCACAGTTTATCTATTGGTCACATATTTTCAAAATTTTGGTCACAAATTATCAAATTTTATGGTAACAATTTTGTGATTAATCACCACCTCCACCACCACCACCACCAACCAGATCTGAATCTACTACAACCAGCATCAACACCACCACCACACTCCGACGCATCACCACAACTCCACTTCGCCACTGCACACGAGCGGGAGAACCGGGATAGGAGAATGGTGGGGGCGGTGGAAATGTTGTCAGCATGGACGGTTCCGGTGTCGGTTGCGACGATGATAGTAGGTTCGGCTTGGCGGAGAAGCCATTCGATAGTCTCCCCGTCAGAGCGGTGGCCAAGTTCCTATGTCAACTGGAACATCGAAGCAGGGCACAAAGCCGGTATTCTCATGTGACGACCTCGGCCATTGACTTTAGTGTGCCAGTCCTTGGTTGACTTTAGTGTGCATGTCCTTGGTTGACAACGAATACCCATTTAGCAATAGAGGGCTCAACAGTAACGACGGTGGCGGGATGTGGAAAGACAGTCCTGAGTGGCTGAACAAGGAGGTGGTGAGAGGGTTACACTGGCATCAGGCTATGGTTATCAGACGAGAGTTTGGAGGAGGAGGAGGAGGGGGAGGGGGATAAGGAATTGATAAAATTAGGGTTAATAATATTATGTTTAATATTAATTAAAATATAAATTTATTACCTGATTTTTGAATAATTAAACTTTAAACTTGATTTTTGAAAATCATTGTTTAAACACCTATGTTTTGTAATTTATCCCAAAAAAAAAAGAGAACGTCAATGGCGGAGTGAAGAAGACGAACCAAGTAGCTGCACAGGCGAACCAACCTGCTCCGATGGAGCCCAGCACGTGTGGCCGCACCCCCTGGCCGGATGCTGGGTCCGTCCTTGGCTCTGGACATCATAATTATCTTTGGAAAAATATATTGCATAAATATGTGGTCATTGTTAAGTTAAAATTGAGAGAGAGTTTACAAGTGATTATAAGTTGTGGATTCTAACATGATATACGAATAGTAAGTGTATAGTATTTGTTGATTCTGAAAAATGTGTGGATAAAAAAGTATATTTGATCAATTTAAAATTCGCCAAACATGCCTAATCAAATCATGAGGTGAGCTGATTACGCTTTATTTTTTAGGTTCGTGTGGGGCTTAACAGGTTAAGCTAATTATGAACATGATTACTACTAAACTTTCACCGGACTCCAAAAAAATTAATCAATACTTGCAAAACAGATTATTTGAATCATCTAACATTTTCCCGTCCCATCTAACATTATTTGATGGTGGTTGTTGGGGGGAGAGAGTGAAATAAATGCAATAAAGATTGTTGACCTAAATTGGTGGGTGTCACAGTTTTCAAAAAGTAATAATGAAGGTAACATTTTTTGCCAAACTTTTATTAAGGCCCGTTTGATCTCCATTATTCCAAAATATTGTGTGCTACAGTAAGATTCTTCATCACACATTCATCCAATAACATATTCTATACACAAACTAATAAAGTTACTTTAAATTTTAACACATTCTCCAAAAAATACTATTCAATACTTTATTTCTTCTACAATAATGAGAGACAAACACACTAAATTATATGTTGTCATCACGTAAAATTGAGTAATGTGATTTAACTTCATTGAGTTTACCATCCCAGTCTAGATAATGTTAATATGACATTAAATGATATGTGAAATTAAATAAGTCATTTATTTCCACCTTTAATTTGGTCTATCTTCTAGATTGTGATCGTAATCACAATGGAATTACATAGCATTATGGATAATGAGTAAATTTTGTGAAGTATAGATAAAAATAAAGTTTGATCAGAATAAACAATATCGACCAGTAATTGAAAATTAACTAAGCCATAGGTTACTCATTATGTACGCTTTTGCTCAAATTCCTTTGTCAAAAAGGATAATTCCTAAAAAGGCAAAGCTCGTTGCAATTTAATAGGTCGTAGGACGTACAAGTAAAAA